TTTTTTTTTTTTTTTTTTTTTTTTTATAGAGTCAGATATGCCCACTTCTTGGAATTTCATGTTGACATGGCATTTTGGTTTGATCTGTGGAGCCATGAATTTTAATTTAGTAGTCTCAAGTTATGACAGGTTTTGTAATGATCAAGCATCTGCATTATCTCAAAAAAAAAAAAAAAAAAAAAGACTATAATTTCCATGTATTTTGCAAATTTGCTCCTATGGGATAGTAACTGGCATTCATCTTTTAGTTTTTGTGTTCTAATGTCATTTTCTACACCCTTTTTATCGGACTACATTATTTCTGTCTTCTTGTTTTCACATTTTTCTTTCTTCCCTTGGAAATTCTTCATCATTTATCTGATTTTAATGTACAAAAGGGATTTTGTATTTCCTGATATGCTCTTGAGCTTTATTTGAAGGATTTCCTTTCTTTTTCCCTTGTGCCTCTTTTCCTGGTTGTTGAACCATGAGCATAATTTTAAAGCATGAGTCTACCTGTGAATATTTTGTATACAGTGTAAACCATATTCCAAGTTTTGTTTGGTTTTTTATTCGCTAGAGTCTAGGTCAAGAAGGCAATTTCCCTTGTGCTGAGTTGCATATTTTGTAGGTATTTTCCTTCCACCATCATTTGCACGTAAAGAAGTGGGACCTGTTCCATACATGTTTAGTCTATAGATGATTCCTTTATATTTCTGAAATTAACTTGTCAAGCTTTGTTTTATTTCTTTAAGATTCAAGTTGGAGCAACATGAGCTACACGGTAATATGTCTTTCCTGATACATAGTTTCATATTTGTGCACTTGAATTTTATCTCTTGATTGCTGGTTTGAGTTTGTTTCGAGTTAAAGTTAAGGTCTCATATGTTATGCCTTAATGTATCATGTTGGTAATTTCTTTTCATGTTATTTACGGTGGCTTGCGCCCGGACTCACTAATAAAGAGTTTGTTTAACTTCGAATTAGTTCTACATTGCATTCATCTTGTCAACTCTTGGTCCGAAATAGGAATGCTGCTTTGAGCTTTAAGATGCATGAATAGGTGTCTTGATTAAGTATTTGCTTTGGTTCATGTTCCGTGCATATAAAAATAATAAAAAAAATTTAATTAATGAATTGAATTAACATTTCAATTTTAAAGTATGCAATCATATAATATATATGAAGAATTGTGAGGTTTGTGCATGTCTTTCTTCACTCATATCAGTACTCCCGAACTCAATCTCAATATAGGTCTAATTTTAAGTGATTTGTCTTATTTTATAATTTAAAACAGGTTGTGATTGAATATCTTTTAATTTTCACACTTAATTATGAAAATTTTATGTTATTTTCAATTTTAATTGGGTGTTAACAACTCATCATAGTTGTGATTAGCACAATTACAAAAAAGAAAAAAGAAAAAAAGAATACAAAAGGTCTATAAAAGTACACTTATTACTAATTTAAATTTCATATTTACCTTTATTAATAAGGGTGGTTGGAAAATTGAGATGTACTCTTTTTATAGAATGGAGTAATTGGACAAAAAAGACTTTATGTTAAAATTAAAATTATTATGCAAATCAGATTATAAATTTTTTAGAAAATGTGACAAGTAGAATGAGAAGTGTATTTTTATGAATTTTTATAATTTTTACTATGACCATACCAAGTAAAGTTTAACAATTAGAATGGATTGTAATTTAATAGTAATCTCCTTTTGTTGAAAGTAAAATGTTATATGTTCAAATTATATAGCATGTAGGTAAGGATGGGAATGAATTAAGAGATAAGGATGGGAATGAGTTAAGAGATGAAAATGGGTTGTTTTTTATTGTATAATTTAAGATAAAAAAAGAAAATTGATAGTAGGTAATAATACATAGAGAAAAGTGCACATTTAAACAAGGTTGTGTCATTTAATAACATTTAATAAAATAAATTTTTGAATTTTGAATTAAATTTTAATTAAATAAAATAATATCATTTATGTTAGGACTTTTTTTTTTTTGAGTGGGTATTAGTATGCACTATTCTCATATATATATATATATGTGTGTGTGTGTGTGTTAATGTAGTGTATATTTTTTAAAATTTTTTTGGAGGATTATTTAAAAATACACCTTCAAATTAGTAATATATTCAAAAACTAACTGCTGAATTGAAAATTTTATTAATGTAAAACATGCATGTTAATTTTTATAATAATCTAATATTTATAACTTTTTAATAAAAAAACTTTCTTTACTAATATATGTTTAATAATATTAAATTTTGTATAATTATCAAATAAGTTAAGCATCATAGATCAATTTAAAAATTGACATACATAATATACATAAATAAAACTTTTAATCAAATTGTGGGTTTTTAAAAATATTAATTAGAAGTTTCGTATTATGTATGTATGTATGTATATGGTGCATATCAATCCACAATCCATACTCTCAAAAAAAAGGAAAAAAAAGAATCTCAATGTTATTTTATTTAATTAAAACGTTATTTAAAATTTTAGAGTTTAATTAAGTGCAACAATTTCATTTTATATTAGAATTCTAATTTTTCCATTAGTATTCAAGAGTGATACATGGTATTCTT